TTGTGTGCCGCTATCCTTGGGTGCCCACAATGACTGTGAACTTCCACTTCCAGAGGCATAACACATCTACCATGTCAGCTTGAAGGAAAATTCCAGCCAAACCCAGTTAATACTGCTGCCTAAATATTAATTTGAAGCTTCCGCTGACCCTTCTCTTATTTCATGTCTTTTCCTCCTATGGGATTTTGAGAAACCCAAGGATATAATTATTGAAATGTTTCATATATTTCTGTCTGCTTACTTACATTTTGTTTTCTATTCCTTGACTGATGGGAATAAATTATTCTAAATAAGATATGTGGCTCAGAGTAAGCAATAGCCCCCAACCCCCTCACCCCCTGGAGGGTTTGCATCAGGCCCAGGACTTATATGATATGGAATTGCAATTATTTATTTTCATGTCTGCATCCTAGACAGTGAGGTCAGGAACCATGGTCTGCTTGCCTTGAGTGCCTGGCACATTTCAAAAATATGCTTTTGAAAGAATGCCTGGCAGTCTAAGATAGTAGAATAACCCCATGTTAGAATTTAGGCTTCACCACTTACTATGTGGTCTAGAACAGTGGTCAGCAAACTGCGGCTCGCAATCCACATGCAGCTCTTTGGCCCCTTGAGTGTGGCTCTTCCACAAAATACTGACTTCTGCGCATGGGCCACGAAGTTTCAATCGCACTGTATGTGCGTGCCCGCACGTGGTATTTTGTGGAAGAGCCACACTCAAGGGGCCAAAGAGCCGCATGTGGCTCGCAAGCCGCAGTTTGCCGACCACTGGTCTAGGAAAATCACTGACTGTTTCTGAACCTTAATTTCTTCATCTGCACAATGGGGTTCACTGCCCAACTGACTGGTGTGAGGCTCAAATTGGCTAAGATGCATAAAAGGTCTTTCTCCGTTTTTCTCCATATATAAAATATTATTATTAGGTTCCTTAACCTAGAAAGTGTGTAGTTTCTTTGCTGCACTTTTAGAAAGACAGGTTTGGTTTTTCTGGGGGAATATTCCTGACTCTGATAACATTCATATGACTGACTTTTTGGGATATTCATACTGTTGTTTATGTAGTTGTTTTATGTTTTAATTAAAATTTTTCCAAATTGTAAGGCTATAATCTCGGTGGAATAATAATAATAATAAAACTGGTTTTAAGAAACGACTGATTTTAAGATGACCCAATATCAGAATAATGACCTGGTTGTACACATTTCATTGCTCTCTCAGAAACCAGAGGAAGCGCATCAGGACTTCTAGTCGCCAGGAGTGATGTTAAAAAATTCTTTAGTGTGATACAGTCTTGAATTCACCTGGTGAAATGGGGCTAAAATTTGATTTTGTCTGCACAGGATTCTCTCTCTGACAGCTTGCCACTAGCCCGATTATACAGATGCTCATTAATCAAGTCAAGTCCAAATGTCAGCATGTTCACACTGTGAGCTCCTTTGTAGCACCTGGAAGGTCGTCAGGCAGGCTGCAAACACCAAACATGTTTTGCGGTGGGAACGCCGGTTAGCTCGAGGGGCTCCCTTTGTTGATGGGATAAACATATAGTGTGATGGTTAAAAGAATGGGTTTTGATGTTACTCAGACCTGGGCTTATGTGCTTACTTTGATTTTGACAAATTTTGTAACTTCTGAGTCTCAGTTTTTCATCTGTAAAATGGACATACAAATACATATACAATAGGCATAATAGGATTGTTATGAGAATTAAATAAAGGACATTGCTCAGCACAGTGCAGGTGCTCAATGAAAGGTAATTATATGACCTGTAATAACTAGTAATGTTATTGAGTAATAATTAAATTGATAACTTATAATATCAATTATATTAATAATAATAATAAGGCTTATGCATGACAGATTGTCTTAAGAACTTGCAAATATTAACTTATTTAATGAACACACAGGTAGGGACTATTATTTTCCCAGGTTTACAACTGAGATCCAGAGGTTAGATAAATTGCTTACGGGGAAAAGGCCCACCGCGCTTTGAACTCAGGCAATCTGACTCCAGAACCAGAATTCTTAACCACCAATGCTGTACCTCTGATGCCTTCTCACCGATACTGTTATGGACTTAGGTTTTAGTGGGAGTTTTTTGCATGGTGCAGGAAAGAACAGCATGTCCAATTACTGTGGCTTGTCATAGGTGCCAACACCCATTGAAGGAGTTTGTGTCCACTAGATGGCATTGCTGTTTTAAATAAATGTGAACCAAGTCAATATTTAGGTTTAAGAGCCTGCTAAATATGGGAGCACTAGCAGGACAATCTAATCGCACCTAAAAGTCTGATGAAAGAGGTCTCCAAAGTTTAAGAATATCTAGAGCTGTTCTAAACACTAATGGTATCTTGAAATAATTAAAAAAATATATGCCAGTCCATTTTGGGTATCACTTTCTATGTAAAAAATCTGGATGAATTTTGAGATTATCTAGTCCAAAGGCAGCAGTTCAGAGAATAATAAACTGAAGGTCAGAGAGGAAAAGTGACTTGTCTACGGTTACCAAGTCCTGATGGTTTTGGCTGTATTTCTTTTTCCATAATTCTAGTGATTCTAGATTACAAGAAAACTATGATTTTTGAATTCTTACAAGACTTTATTTTTTGGGTATGGAGCAGAATGCTGCCCAAGAATTGTGAGTTTTATTTCATTAGGTTTTGGACATGTGTTCCAAAACAATAGCAGACTCTTACACTTAGATATTAAGTAGCATAAAAGCGAAAAATGGTGCTGACTTTCTTTCTTTCTTTCTCTCTTTCTTTCTTTCTTTCTTTCTTTCTTTCTTTCTTTCTTTCTTTCTTTTTTTCTTCCTTTCTTCCTTTCTTCCTTCCTTCCTTCCTTCCTTCCTTCCTTCCTTCCTTCCTTCCTTCCTTCCTTCCTTCCTTTCTTCCTTTCCTCCTTCCCTCCTTCCTTCTTTCCTTCTTTCCATAACATGCTCTCTTGGAAAGATTAAGTGACTTCACTTAAAAAGACTGTCCCTATTTGTTGACAATGCAGTATGTGAATATTAAACCCACAACAGGTAGCAAAGTAATGGATAAGAAAAAAGGCTCTGGAATCAGACTGCCTGGGGTGGAAACTGGCTCTATCACGTAGTAACTAAAGGAACCTGGGAAAATCAGGAGACTTCCCTAAACCTCTGTTTCCTCATCTGTAAAATGGGAATAATATTTTTACTTGTAAGATGCTTGTGAAAATGAAATGGATGTGAAGTGCCTGTGATGTAGTTAAAAAGCAAGGTTAAGGATATCAATAATAACTAATATTTTGTATTATAGCTGATGTTCAGTTTTCTACAGCTCTCAATGTGTGTCATTACAGATGTTTTGTCAACAACTTCTTTACTCACTGTCACATCCTGAATTGTTAAAAGAGAGAAAGAATGTTCTGGGTTTTATAACTGTGTAACATGGCTCCTCCCTCCACCAGATGGTGGAAGTAGCCAAGAAACATATGGCATGTACTTCATTATGTGTTCACATCAACTTTATTTAAAACACTCGTAGGCTTTAGGCTCCTACTCACAGTGTAGACAGAGAAGGCGCCTGAGCAGTGGATACAGCAATATCAGCCAGGAGTTACTAGGCATTTGCTGAGTTCCAAACATTGCTCTGTTTTACAAGTATTAACTCACTCAATTCTTACAACAACCATGTGCTCTATGAACTAATACTTACTCTTTTTAAAGAGCAATAATAATAATAATAATAATAATAATGAAAGATGAGTAAACTGGGATTTAGAAACTTGCTCCAGCTCAAATAATAAGCCAGGGTTGGAACGCAGGCGGCCTGGTTCTTAAACACGCTTGCTCTGCCATCTGTCAGGGTGGGCTGTGAGGAGGCCTCAGAGGTTTCTGAGCTCCACATGGCTTTCCCTAGTACATGGAGTCCTGCCACAAAGCCTGGTAGCCACTGTTTGTTTAGCTCTTCTAGGCTACTGTTAGCATGCAACTCCAGGAGGGGAATGTGTTAAACCCACATTGGTATTTTTATGGCAATTAGTTAGTGAGATCAACTGGTTAAACATTTCATAGGCTCCTGAGCTTCACAGGGTAAGACACAGTTGTGACAGGTAAGAAGAGAGCATCCTAGGATAGGTCACTCTTGAAGACCACTCCTTAGGACTCAAAGGACATCACAGCAGAGAGAGAGAGGACTGGGTTACCAATGCAGTCACGCTTGTGACGAGCCCTCCTCACCAGAGCTAATTTGTTGCTCTTAGGTTCTGACACACTCCAGACTAGACACTTCCATTGCCAGCAACTCAGATTTTATTCCCATGTAGAATTCTTGAATTCAGATTTGCAAGAGGTTTAGAGGTCTCCTGGTCTACCCCTCTGCCTTTACTAAGAAGGAAACTGAGGTGCCATTTGCTTCTGTTATCTTAGAGCAGTGGTTCTCAACCTTCTGGCCCTTTAAATACAGTTCCTCATGTTGTGACCCAACCATAAAATCATTTTCGTTGCTACTTCATAACTGTAATGTTGCTACTGTTATGAATCGTAATGTAAATATCTGATCTGCAGGATGGTCTTAGGCGACCCCTGTGAAAGGGTCGTTCGACTGCCAAAGGGGTCGTGACCCACAGGTTGAGAACCGCTGTCTTAGAGGAAGAGTTGGAGCCCTGATCATTCAATTATTACATCCTGTGTCTGTACCCCTTAGTTATTTCACATGAAATAGCCACTTGCTGAAATTTTCCTGTTTATACCAATAACATTTTTCTTTCAGTGATGAACCCAAATTTAACAGATAGCTTCTGTTCTTTACAGATAGCATCTTTCTATTTAGAATTTCTTTCTTCCTTTGCTTGAGACAAATTTTTATGAGATAGGGAAACAATGACAGTTATTAGAAAATATTTTAAAGTCAATTACTTTTCTCCCTAGAAGCCACGAATGCAAGTAATTCAACAAACTAAGAAAATGACCCTAGAAATAGGACCAAGGCAACTTCAAAGCAGAATTTCCAAAAATGAGCTGGGAGACTTCCACTTACCGATTTCAGTCATTGTTATCCCTGGTGCTAGCTGCCCATTGTTGAAAGAGCTATAGGTAAACAAGTTGGATACGGATGTGAGGTCATAGATGGGTTCTTGCTTTATCTGTTTGATCCCAGTCATGTCAAGTCCTGACTGATCAGGGGACGGCTGGCCGGAATCCACGTTGTAATAACCCTCGGATTTGGGCAGGTCAATGACATGTCCATTAGCATAAGTGCCGCTGGCCTCATTGTTCAGGTTGCTGAGGCTGTTGCTGATGCTGCTGCCATACACCCTGGCGAGGGCTTCCGCCTCCCCGCTCTGCTGCTGCCGCTGCTCCTGCAGCCGCTGCTGGTGCTTCTGCACCTCGGCATACAGGCTGTCCCTCTGCTTCTTGGACATCCTCCCAAACTTCACAGCTGGGTCAAAGAGAAAAGCAGAAAACAGCGCGTGCAGTTATCATTCTCGCTAACCACCTCAAGTCCAATGGGTCATGGATGGTTGTCCCCTCAATATCAAGTGCGTGGACTCCTAGCACCATAGCCCAAGAGCCCATTCATTCACACTCCGTATTTGATAGAAGTTATATTCATGGGTGTCCTTACTGGTTTATGTGCATAGGGGAGAATTCAATCTAAGCAAGGAAGAAACGTGAACACTTACGTATTTCTTATTGCTGTGAAGTTACAAAGCATATTTTCTTGTTCTTTTTTACTTGTGGGGAAAAAAAATCACAAATAATACAAACTACCAAATAGTACCTGCTATGAAGATGTCAACCTAAACTCATTGTTAACTTCCTCTCCTAAGCATTAGGATTACTAGATTGTCGAATAGGACCTTATTATTTCACTATTTTCTAGTGGGTTGGGTAAGAACAAGGATGTGGGGCAGGGTGATAAACATAGTTTTAAGTAAACCACATCATTTGCCTTCAGTTGGCTTTTGGGGTCAAATGAAACGGATCTTTGGAAGAAGTTTGTGCATTCAGTGGCCAGCAAGTGATCCAACAGTAACCCCTTCTCTCTCAGTCCACACTCTCCCTCCTGAGTTTTATATTGCCCATCTCTTCTGCCAAAAGCTTTAGCCATTCTGAGGAAAGAGGCTCTGGAAGTGGTCAGAGAGTGATATGAGGATGCTTTCATCTGAATGCATTGTTTCTTTTAAAAAAATATATATTTATTGATTTCAGAGAGGGAGGGAGAGGGAGAGAGAGATAGAAACATCAATGATGAGAGAGAATCATTGATCAGCTGCCTCCTGCATGCCCCACACTGGGGATCAAGCCCAAAACCCAGGCATGTGCCCTGACTGGGAAACAAACCGTGGCCTCCTGGTTCATAGGTCAACACTCAACCACTGAGCCATGCCTTCGGGCTGAATGCATTGTTTCATTACTTATAGAGCTTAATCTCCTGAACTGTCACAGGTAGTGACGTTTCCTCACCAGCTGTCAACTCCCATTTTAGGCTGTGAACATCCTGAGTCCAGGGGCTCCCGTGTCTGAATCATCAAGCTGTATGTCGTTCAACTCATGTTAAAAGTGGGAACTGTGACAAACTTGGAGGCTCCTCTCTGAGTCTCTGTTTTCCTTTGTGACAGTGTTCCCGTCACCTGATGGTGTTGGGAGCTCAGAGAATGTAGAAAAATAAAGTGGAGGCAAGAAACTGGTTCAACCCCTGATTCGGTCATTAGGGTTGATGAGAATAACTCCTGAGAATAACTAAACAGGGACCTGCTTAAGAACTAACTCTCCAGCCCCGCATGAAGGGCCTACAGAAGAGATCCCTGCTGCGAAGGAGCTGCCACTCATCCCCAACATTTCTTCAGTTCATTTTCTCCTTCTATTGGTTATAGAGCTACCAAATTTTATCTAAGCATCAGCTGGTCAGAACAGAGACCACCTTTCCCAGCCTCTGTCACTGCCAAGTGTGACTATAGATTAAGTTCTGAGTAACTGTGTACACTTTCCGGTGTCAAGCATGTAATTTTCCTCCTTCCTGCCTGCAGGATTGTGGATGTGAGGGGTGGACTTGGAGCAGCCCAATCTCTTCCTATTCCTCTTTAATCCTATGTTTTTGCTTTCTGATGCTGCCTAAGTTGGAAAACAAAGTAGCAATTATCCAGTAATTTTTCTGAATGAAGAAAATTAATCTGGTTAATTCAGACCAAATTCCTCTTTCCAGCTCAACTGTCATTTCTGTAGAGTCTTGAATCATTTAGATAATTGTATTCAACTTTGTTTGTAGAGACACTGTCTTTATTAGACACTGTTTCTCAAAGACAAATTTATTTGCTTACTAATTGTTGTGATATTTGTAGTTTGTCCATGGACAGAATTCTATAGTGACTTTTAGGGAAAGTGTTCTCTGTACCTTTATATTATATCTTTATACATAATTTACTACATATAATTCTCTAGTGAAAAAAATCATTTTGTATAAGAAAAAATAAATCATGACACATTTGGATTCAGAAAGAACCTTTTCCCCCCATGAAAGTAATGTGACATGCTTCGTTATTTGCTGACCCTCTGTTTGTTGCATTCATGCAGGATTCGGACAGCTCTTTGTTACAGAGCTATGGTGGTGAATACCAAATTTGTATCTATTGCTATAGATTAAGATTTTTGTTCCGGTTCGAGTATATTTGCTTTCTGACTTACTTTAGTAGAATAGTTTTGCATTTGTTCGCTTAAAATTTATAGGGAGAAAAAAATGGATAATAAGCTCTTCTAACATGAAGAGAGAAATGCAGTGTCTCTTTTTAAACTCCTTTCCATTCGATCCTTGTTTTAGATTTCTACACACTGTATTTAGGTGAATTATACATTGTGGTTGATTGATTTTATTAATGACCCTGATTTTTCTTACTTACTTCCACTTCTTCCCCGTGTAAATTTCAGGGCCCTTTTTTCTGTGTAGGCATTCTTACTCAGGGTCATGTGGCCTGCTCTGGGCCAATGGGATATTGACATATGTGACACAAATAGAGGCTTCCAAAATGCTTATGTGACTGAGTATGTCACCATGAAAAGGACAGGCCTCACCTAGCTTGATGGAGGATAAGATATGTGAGGTGGAGTCGAGTCACCTCAGTTATCCCAGACAAAGTCATCTATAATCAATAGAGGCACAGACTAACCTGTAGCTGATAGAAGATGAATGAATGAGCTCAGTCAAGACCCCATATTTAACAATTTTAGGTTCAGAATTCTGCTTTTGATCTCAAAATCAAAGCTAATAGTGTCAACTAAGTATGCAGTCAAGACCTGTGCCCTGGTGAACATCTGAAAACTCAATGGTGAATAATTATGCCCTTTCCAGAAAATTAACTTATCAGGTCACTGAGCAAGCTGAAATATTTTCAGAGAGGCAACTTAAAGCCCCACTACCTTTTGGAATTATCAGGCTTCATCCTAAATTGTGGACTTTACTGACAATTGCTGTAATACTATTCTAGAATGAATTTTCCCTTTATTTCAGAAATTCTGATGAGCCAGTATTTCAGTTTTATGCTCCTTCCTATAATAAATGTAGTGACATATTTGGGGAAAATTACAGTAAATAGCAAAAGTAAATCCACTGAACTTTCCTAACATATAAATAATTCCTTGTCACTCTTTGTCAATACATTTGTTGTATCCATAGGCCTATTTCAACAAAGGCTGTATTACTATTATAGTTTCAAATATTAGCATTCTTCTCACCACTAACCATTAATCAGAATGGCACATATTTTGAGTGTTTGCCCCTCTCAAACTTGAATTATTCTGCTAATGAGATTCACTTGAGTATAGAGGCAGTCTCTTGTTAAACTGCTAGCTCTCAAAGAAACAAGCACAATTCTGTATACATTGCAAGTGCTTCATAAATATTCAGTGATGATGGTATTTGCTCATGATAAGCTCTTAACCCTCATGTTGATCCCACACTAGCAAAGAACAATTTTACGCAAAAAATCGGAAATCTTTTCATATTTATTTGGATTGTGGGATTCTAAATGGAATGAAAGTTTCTGGAGTAACAATGAAAAAAGTTATCGCTTCTTCAAAGACATCTACTTACTACCTTGTAGGACAGCTTCTAGTTTTTCATAGAGGCATGTCATTAAGGAGGACACATACTTGATTACTGCAAGATGGGTGTCATGTTTTCTCTTTGGAGCTCAATATCTTCCTACAATGCTAACGTTTTTCTGTTTTTGTTTGTTTATAGTAGTACAATTGGAAACAGTTTACATTGAAGATTTCTGCAACTATCATATTTTAAGGGTCCAGTTAAAAAGAAATAAAATGGTGGAGAAGATGCAGTGGGCATATACATGCTATTAATTCACACACACATATACATGCATACTTTCACCTTAAAATTTGACTAAATAAATCTTGAAAACCACTTAACCCCAATCCTCCATTTTTCTTCACTTTAGTATGTAGAAGTACACAGTGCTGTAAGTTTACCCTAGGAGTATATCTATGTGGTTAATAAGTTTAGAAAAACAAATAAAAAATCAGGTAATAAATAGAAAAGTTTTGGAAACCTACATTTCTGCATCTTTAGAAGCTTACCTGTAAACTAAAGGGCTCAAGGTCGGATTCTTTTTCTTCTTTTTATTTTTTGATCAAATTTATCTCATACATGTACTTTTGTGTAAGACAAGTTTAGGTGGGTTGAAAATTAGAGAAAACGTAAAAAAAAAAAACCCTCAAGATATAACTGTTTGGAGAATGCAAGCTAAGAGGTAAGCAGTTTGTATGCTTAGATATCAAGTCCTATGTGGAGTTGAATTTATCCAAATGACTAAAAGGCCCACATTTAATGTAATAATTCATAAAATCCCTTTATACCAAGGTACAGTACATGCCAATTATCCATTCAAAAATAATTTAGTAGTATTTATTTTTTTTCTTTTGAGGGGGTTGGGTCTACACCACCTTGAACCTCATTAGAGGCAGTGTGACCAGCAGCACAGAATCTACAGTGCTTCATATAAAGAGAATAAATATCAGGGGCACTGTGTCTCAGGCTCTAGGTAAAAGAGAATGCCATGGTTCATTAAACAAACATTTAGGGGACTGCTTTTAAGCATACCCTGAGGATACAGTGGGAACAAGACAGAAATGGCCCCAAGACTCAGGACTGCTCACAATCTGATACAGGAGTGCTGTGGTCCATGCCAAGGGAAAATGATTAGTTTAGATGAATGCTTAAAAATGGAAGAAAAGCTAGATGAAGTTCTTTTGTTTGAATTTATTTGTCCTCTTTCATTAATCTAAGTTCAGCTGTTGAGTCAAGCCACCCAGTTGGGTTGGGCATGAAGGTGGAGTGCACACTTGAGTCATATTCTGAGAAGGACACAACCTACACAACCCTTCTAAGACCTGGACTGCTGCTATGGCATTTGGAATCTTCATCATGACTCAGAATAGTCTACATCCTTATCTGAGGAGCTGTGATGGGCCAATGGAGCTTCTGGGCTTCCTACAGAAACATGTTCTGTTCCTTAGCATCTCCACATATTAAGTAACCTGTGCACCAGTAAGACTTACTCAGCAACCAAATGGTTCTATTTTCCTAGGACTTCCCAGTTTTAGCTCTGAAAATCTCGTGTTCCAGGAAACCAATGCCTCATTTACAGGCAAACCTAGACAGGTGGTCACCTTTCAATCTAGGACTATGTGGCCTTCACCTAACTTAGGACAGGTTGCTCCAAAAGCTGCAGTAAAGGCTTCCCTTTCTTCCTATTTCATAGGCAATACTATATTTTTATATGTTCTTACTTTTCCTTTTAATGCACTACCAGCACATGCTTTTTTCCTTCTTATTTCCAATTCCCTTTGTCTAGAATTCTTGCAGTGGCTTAAATAGACTCCAGGAAAGCCTCCATTTGAAAGCCTTTATGTAAGAAATCGGAAGGCAATGCCTTACCATCTCTTGACATTCCTAGGGCAAGACACTTCTGCAGTCGGCAGTGTTGGCAACGGTTTCTGTTGGTTCTGTCAATTAAACAGTTTCTCTGCCTTGGGCAGGAGTAAGAGGCATTGTTCTGCTGGCTCCTCCTAAAGAATCCCTAGAGGGGAAAAAAGAATGGGAGGGAGATAGAGACATAAGAATGGGAACAGAAACTATTAACACATATATATTTGCTACATTTTCTCCAGTGAACATAACTGTGTTTAATTTTTAAAATTCTTTGGATGCTTAAGGATGTTTCTACCAGGGAAAATATGTGCTATCTATAGAGATATGAAAGTATCATTCATTCCTTCATCCAATCAATGTTTACTAAAGACATTTGTGAGCTATGCTGCTTTATGCAAAGAAAAACACAACAGAGCTCCTGCTCCAAAGAACAGTGGGAAAGGAGTGGCAGAGGGAAGTGTCACTGCTAAGGCAAATATAACAAAACTTGATGGGGATGATAACAGGCTTATGCCAAGTGCTGTGGGGGTGAGGGACTGGGGTATTGGTTGAAATAGCAGTGTTGAGGAGTTTGGGCTCGGTATATGCTACTATCTTCCTAGTTTCTAAGATGCATTTTTGCCGTTTGAAAATTTTTGAATTTGGCCAGAATGTATGTGGAAGGTTGTTTTTTGAACCAGGGATGTACTTTTAATCAATCACATCTTTGAATAAGAAACCATGGTATATTCACTGTTCAATAAAACATAAGCAATAAGTAAAAGCTGAATTAATGGTCTCTGCTTGGCCTCAGGCAATACTGATGTAGGAAGTTTTTATGTAAATGAGTTTGATTCCTTCTGGTACACAATGAACTGCCATGGACCATCCATTGCCCTCCTGAATAAACCTGAGTTTATTAATTCTTTACTTTTTGGATACTACTCACCTTAGTTCTCTTATAGAACACTCTACCAGGAAATAAACATTTTCTCCAGAAATACGAAAGTATCATTCACCTATTTAATCAGTTTCCCTAATCACTCTTTACTCTTGAATTGCAATATAGCCAAAGAGCAAAGTGCAACAAAGTGGTAGTCTACAGATTTACCAGGAGAAATTCTAGGAAAAGATAACCCACAGTAATATCTCTTGCAAGAGGAAAGCTAGAGAAGTTCCAGGTGGTAAACCCAATACCCATCTTGCTGAGGGGCCTGGAATAGGTCCCCTGACTTCTGCCAAAAAGGGTCTGTGTTTCCTCAACTGTCAACAGGAGATGCGGTGGGGCTGGGACTATGGTGAGGCTCATGAGGCAATTCCCTTGGCCCCAAAATGTAAGGATCACCCAAAGACTTGGTAAACAAGATAACTAATATATTAACACAATATGTTAAAAATCAACGCTAATGCAAAAAACTTCCAACTGTCTGAATAAAGACAGGATCAAGATTAGTGACTATCCTTTGTTTCAGGCTCCCATATGGCCCGGCATGGCACTGTAAGGAGAGGTTGGCGGGCCTTGTGAAAAACCTCAGAAATGGATGCGTGGCCCAGTATCTTCATAGAGAGAGCAGGCCAGCTGGTTTTGTGGTGTTACCCCCAAGCCTTTCAACAACAAAGACTAGTTTCATCCCCACAAATACATGTGTATTATTTATTTAATGGACCAATGGTGGCAGAGCGGTATCTGATTGTCCAGTTCTAATGAATTCATGCCCCTTAAAATGGAGATCATAACCAACAAGCCCCCAGGGATTGAAATGATGTATTTCATATACCACGAAAGCTGTCAGAAAGCATAACCTCAGCCCATCGGAACTGACTAAAGGTACCTTGGAATTTACGATTTAGGGAAGAATTGGGCAGTTTTAAATTTTTGGATACTCTCTAGTGCCACTTACTTAACAAATGAATGGGCAGAAAAGACCCTTCTGAAGTCATAGCTACAAGCCTAATTTAAGGCCAGTTTGACATTAATTGTGAGGCATTACTTATGTATCTGTTGCTCATTATTGTAAATGAGGGTTTTTTTTGGCATGAAACAGAAATTCTGTTTCAAATTTTATTGAATAGAAATTCGAATAAGTGCACAAGCTGACTTGATGTTATTTAAAATGGGTTGTTTATGTTGACTGGAAAACAGTATAATGAAAACTCAGAGGTTGCTACTAGATGTGCTGACACTGACATCTTGTTCTAAAAAGAATTTCTTGAGTTTTCTGTTTGGAGAAAAATGTAGCATATTTACAAGTGTGAGTTTTTGCATGGAATTCAAAAAACCCAGTGTGGTGTACAATGTCATTTTGACTAAAACCTCAGTGTGTGCTTCAGAATAGCAACTTAGTTTCTTTGATTATGGATTCCTCCTTTAAACAGAAGAAATGACAGGAGCTTAAACAAATAGTCCCTGGCTATTGACCTGTTGGAATATATTTGTTCAGTAGTTAAATCTTTTGGGAATTACTGTCTCAAATGTTTTACTCCCTAACATGAACATATCCTCATATTTTGATATCAGATATTTTCCAATAGAACTTATGCAATGAAACACAATACATCTCTGCTTTGAAACTAGTCTAAAAAGCGTGCGTGTGTGTGTGTGTGTGTGTGTGTGTGTGTGTGTACTATGTAAAGTAGACCAGCTTTCACTGGAGAGTGTTCTGATTCCAAAATTATTAGCATTTATGAAGAAAACTATCTACCTGCCCAACAGTAGTAATAACATTCTGGGAAGGTAAAAAATTGCTGATTTGTACTTTTGCCTTATTGTTCTTTATGATGAGTTGAAAAAATTGCATGAAAGTGGATAACATGCAGTTATTTTTTTTTAAAAAAAAATATTTTTATTGATTTCAGAGAGGAAGGGAGGGGGAGAGAGAATAGAAATGTCAATGATAAGACAGAATCACCAATCAGCTGCCTCCTGCATGCCCCCTACTAGGGATTGAGCCTGCAACCTTGGCATGTGCCCTGACTGGGAATCGAACTGTGACCTCCTCATTCATAGGTCAACGCTCAACCACTGAGCCATGCCAGCCAGGCTAATATGCAGTTCTTAATTGTGGGTCTGCAGAAGAATGAAAAGCACATCTCATGATGTTCAAATATGTTCAAATCACTTTGAAAGCAGGTCAGCATGTTAATATGTTCTTATGTCAATGTTATTTTTCCCTCTCTGCATCCCTCCCCAATTTTATTTTCATATATTTCTTTTTTTCCTTCCCTCCAGTTTCAATTCCAGGAATCATGGTGTGTGTTTTTTGTTGTTTGTTTTTTTGAGACTATGATAAGACATTGCCATTTTTTCATACTACTACTTGACAGATACAGTTTTGTTTTATTTATATTTGAAAGTCTCTCAAGATTAAGGTTGGTTCTAAGAACCAACCTTAAATTAATGATTTACTCTCTTGCATTTTTTATCAAAAATATAATTGCTTTTATCAGTAACTTTGCCAGCATATCTCTTTTCCCTACCAGACTACAGCTGCATTTTATTTGTTCTGGTTCCACGTTGCCCTTTGAAATTAGTTGTAGAACTGCTTTTATTTCCCCCTTGATATGTAGTCTCTCACTCTTTCTTTCCTTCTAAAGATTAAGTCAACAAACTTGCTGTTAAGTTTCAAATTTCTCTTATTTCAGATTAGGTCTATGTTAACCACTATACCCACCAACTTTCTCTCTCTCTCTCTCTCTCTTTCTCTCTCTCTCTCTCTCAGCTTTGTATTTTAAAAGCAACTTGTCCATACGCATTCATTTGTTTTGGAAGCAATGGTGAATCTGTCCTGGAGGGGAACATTGAACCAAGAATGAAAACACCCATGTTGTTGGCCATGTTCTCTCGCTAACCAGATCAGTGACATTGGTCAAATGACATAATCTTGTTTATACCTCAGGACTTCATTGAAAAATGAGGAGGTTGGGCAGACGCTTTTTAATTAATTTAGAGACTATCTGGTTTACATCTAACATTTCATGCTTCCAGGTTTGGTTTTGTTTTTTTAACATTTTCTGGAATGTGAGAATAAAGGATGGCCATATGCGTATTGCAACTCTTCCTTTGACTTCTTACTCAAGCAGGTAAATAAATGTTGGCCCATTAGTTTATAATTTTTATTTTAACCTTTAGTTTCTTCATATAGTAATAAATGCCCCGGAGTTTACTGGAGATAATACTGATAAAAAAAGGAAGAATCAGCATTTATATCTCTGTGAATGTGAATAATTCAAGCTTTTACATAACAATCTGTTTTTAAACATCTGCTGACCAGTTAGACAACAGCAAAAAGGTGAGAGGCAAAGGCATGGAAAACCCACCCACCCACACATCAAACAAGAATTCCCGAATGTCAGCAGCAGGCACACGAATGCTATAGCAGCCTTCTTTAAAAACGGTGTCACCACATGCATCCTGAGGTACACAGATGCCTGAGGCAAACATGGATGCTGTGGGCAGTGCTGTGTTAGGGCCCCATACCTTGCAGCCTTCACACGTGATGACTCCGTAGTGGATCCCGGAGGACTTATCGCCACAAATTTTGCATGGTATCACTTCAATTTGTGCTGAAAGGGGAAAACAGATATTTTGAGCTCACAGAGTTGTCTTCTTACTTTCACTCTCCTACCTTCTTCTCCTCCCCTCCCTGCCACAATCTTGGTGCTTGAAGACACCAGGGTGGGAGTAGGGGTGTGGTGTGGGGTCATCTACTACTATTGGAATGGCCTCCCTAAGCCCCTTCTGATTGAAAGGGGGGCCATCTTAGTTGCTTTCTTTTTCTCAAACTAAAAAATATAACCAGAAACCAGACGTTTTGTAAACTCTTGCCTTCATCATTTTCTCCTTTATAAACTTGACCTTGAAATAATGTGAGTCAAAAATCCCTGAGACCTGAGGCTTTGGTTTTCTTATTTTGCCACTTCAAACATTAAGTTAAGAAGAGCTATCACATTGCCTGATTTCAATATTTCTTAAAATAGGTAAATAAAGCAAAACTGGAGGGGATGATGGTGACTTTATTATATATTATGTGGCTGAATGTTTACTTGTGAAAATGCTGATGATAAATCAGTCAAATATTTACTGAGCATACTCTATATGTCTACTAATACAATAAATGTTGTTTATATAAGATACAATATACACACTAGGAAGATTTTCTTTTCCTACACCCAAATTAAAATATGCAAAATATGCTTCAAAATGCTTTGTATATAAATGTGCCATGTGGATGCTTTTCTACAATTTCTGACCTTTAAATATACAAAATAAATGCAAGCAAGACATAAACCTCTTTACCTTATTGTTCCACCTTAAAAATGATAACACTTTACTTTTTTTTAGCAATTATTTCATAGTAAGTTTAAATTGAGGAGGAATATAGACCTAATGCACATTCTTGTTAGCTTATAATTAAGTCAATGCCTCTTCCTTAGGCAATAGTCTGTTTTCCTGGGTGTTCCCAGTTTGCAGGGGCCACGGGCCGGGAATTTGGCAGCTTGGCCGGAGGTGGGGGGCGGGGGGGGGTTCGCTGGCGTCACCCAGGCCAGGCATTTAGATACAATCTAACTTCCCCATTCTAACTGACTCAGGAAGGGCTGTGAAAGCCCACCAAAAAAAGCCCGGTAGTTAGGAAACGGATAGGAAACAAAGAAACTTAGGAATATATAAGGGGTGATCTCATTGTATTCACTGTTCAGGCTTTGGATCTTCGAATGCCCTGAGCCAGCAGCGCTGCTTTAGATAAAGGGTTTTTCCTAAATCTCCGAGTACTCCTTGTATATTTTCTGGTCGCCTGGTAAATTCTACAACAAAATCATCTTTATAAGCAAAAAATTCAGTGTTATGTTCTGTGAGAAAACTGAGGATCAAGGTGACCAATGATGCCCTTGAGTTGACTTGGAAGATGGCAACCAGAAATTAGCCAGTTTTCCTGATACTTCATTCAGTAACCCTTTCTCGACCTCCCACAAAGATAAAATATGAATACAATTTTGAATTCCTATATTATCCCAGGAGCACCAACCATAGAGATATTGATAAAAACATCAGAAGAGACAAAGTCGACTAAAATACTTATTAAACTATTTTATTAGCTTCTTTTCTTTTAGCTTTCAGGTTACATGAACTAGTATTTGTTTTCAAGATTTAGTGATGTGGAAAAAATGAGAGATTTTATGTCATTCTACTCTGTTCTGTTCTCCTTGATTCCAGTCCCTAATCTGTTAATGATGGAGGCCATGGCAAAGATAAAATCTCTGATCTTGTTTTCTGTTTTATAAAGCTCAGCTGACAAACTTCATTGATTTGTGAGGATTAAATGAGATATTGTATGTAGAAGTGCCTTGTAAGTAGCAGAGTTACATAATGTCAGTCTTCTTCATCATCATCATCATTGTTAACTGGTATTTTTAATGCTTTTGGACAAGAAATATAAGCCACACCATTATTCCTTTATTAAAAATCTTATTTTATTAAAAATACCAAATTAATAAAAATATGTTATTTATACTATTTTTTAAAGTGATAACCTCTGGAACAGTAAATTCCTTACAATTATTACAAAATTGACTAAGAATCCCAGGTATCCATTGTACAGTTGTTAGGCTTATATGATATTAAGTTAGAGGGGCTCTTTGCATAAATTACTCCCCAGGGAGTAACTTACACGTGGGGAGAATCTGCTTCAATAAGTTCTTAATTATAAAATGATCTAACTCTAAAGGAAATGAAAATAGAGGTAATTTGCCCCCTGGGATGTGAGAAGATGTTTTTGAAAGCCACAAAGGTTATCTTACACAACTTCGGAAATACAAATGGGATAAGAAATGATTTGATAGAGCATCTGCATATTTATACATATTTATAATCTTAGCTCAACATGTAATCCTGAAGAACCATAAACATTAGAACAGTATTTTTAAAGAGAAAGAAGCCACTTAAGAGGGTATGTGTGTGTTGCTGTGTGTAGGAAGGGATCAACGGTTTGGAAAACCTATGACCACTTTTACTAATTATGGCAGAATAGATAATCTGAGGTCTATTATAGATGAAGATAAATAATTAAAGTCACTAATCCTTTTCTCTCATTTAAAATAAACTGCTTCTGAGCCACAACTTGATCATTCATACTGTGTATTCTTTATATGTTTTTAAAATTGATTTTAGAGTGAGAGGAATGGAGAAGGACAGAGAGATAGAAACATTGATAGGCTGCCTCCTGCACACCCCATCCTGGGGATCAAGCCCAAAACCCAGGCATGTGCCCTGACCTGAATTGAACTGTGATCTCCTGGTTCTTAGGTTGACGCTCAACCACTGGGCCACACCAGCTGGGCTTTACTACATATTTTATAAAGCACATCTTCAAGACAGCATTTCAGACACTGATTAAGACAACAGGTCATGTGATTGCTCCAATGTTTGCCATTTCTAAATGTCTCGCCACTATACCGGCCGTAGTCTCCAGTACAATTGCCTTGCAGTGCATACAGATCTGCTGACATGCTATCTGTCATGGTTTCAAACTGAGCATCTAGGGAGGATTTGCTGGCTTGGACCTCATCACCTGTTGCAATGATGGTGTGATAAGGAAACTGAGGAGAGAGTTCAACTTTCATACTTTTGCTTGATTCATGGATAATTAAAAAATAGCGTTCTCTGACAAACATAGAGGAGCTGAAATGCTCTGAGAGATGGCTTGAGCTATGTGGAGAGCGGCTATAGCATTTGGACAGGTTCAAGTCTGGGACTAATGAGAGGGCACGATCCTCTCGTGGCAAAGCCAAAGGCTATAGTTGTAAGCTTGACCTTATGGTCCGAACCTGTAGCCCCAGTGTCTGAGTGGGAGGTGCAGCAAGTAAACAAAGCTTGATCAGGTGCATGTAATTGAGTAGATTCGAAACCCACGAGAATGTTGTAAACATCTTGACCACGCCCTTACTTTGCCTTGTGGAATCTGGCTATAAAATAAAGACTCAGCGTGCAGGCTGTGGTGCTGTCTCTCCATCAGAGAGGGCAGCGTCCCACCCAGGGCCCAGCTTTATTCTCTTGTCTGTCTTTTCTAAGTCCTTCACCGCCCCCTCTCAGGCTCACCCATGGCTGTGCCGGCTGGGCACAGAGATATGCTCATCTTTCTTCATTTCTTTTTTCTTCCTCTCACTTATATTTTTCTGTTGGTAATACTTTGTGGAGACTCTACTTAAAAGCTTATTCACCAGTTAATTTTTTGTTTATAAAAGCAATCAGATACAGTTTTTGGAAATGATATTCTTACAATGTCAAAGAAAGTCATGATATACTTAAATTTATTTCATGGTTTACCTTATATTAGAACCATTTTTGAACTATAAATAATTTAATACCTTTAGTGTGGCAGAGTTATGTAATAGTTACAGAGTAGTCAAAATTTGTCTCTTGTTTGAAGATGGCAGGGTCTGTCCTTGCTCAGAGCCCCTTCCCATCCAACAAAGCCACCATGTGTTGAATCCTTTCTGCTTATCATGTACATATCTTTCCTTCTGCTCCCTTAGATCCCCCTGCCTGTGAAGACAGGTATTAAGTTAGATTAACCAATCTAAACTATTGAGTTAACTAGAAAATGTATCACTATAATCCATAAAATTACCTTAACATTTCTTTGTCATTAAAAAAATCTTTATTGTTGAAAGTATTACATTTGTCCCTCTTACCCCCATTGACCTCTTCTAATCCACCTCCACCCCCATCCCAAGCCTTCACCACCCTATTATCTGTGTCCACGTGTTAGGCATATGCATACAAATACCTTAACTTTTAAAAGCAACCATCAGGAATGGTAGTAAGAATGGGCTGTTCGGATACTTTCTGGCTGGTGAAAATATTTTACTGTGTGTGCTCTTGTGACTCTCAGGTCCTACCATTCCATCTCTTACAACTCAACCTGGCCATTTTTATGTTCTGGGCATTCCAAGTCCACTGAGGACAGGGTCCAGGTTAATTTCTTTGTTATATTTTCCATGGAGCCCAAAAGAGAATTTTTATAACTCTTTAAAGCAGTGGTCCTAAAATTGTTTTTCTTTTAGTACAACCAAGAAATTTGACATACTTCCTTTTATAAAAGAGGCTTTAAGCAACACTGATTTTCCATATATGAGGTGCGGAGAGAAAAATCAGAATCTTGAGGTTGGGGTGGATGCATACTTTGGAATAGGCCCCTAGGTGATTCTGATATGATATGATAAGGCCCCATTGAATATCCATTGAAACAAGTTATTAAGTAGTGTGGAGAGCGGCGACAGCGTTTGGACAGGTTCAAGCCTGGGACTAATGAGAGGGCACAATCCTCTCGTGGCAAAGACACGTGTAAGTCCCAGCACAATTATAGCCACAGGCTATAGTTGTAAGCTTGACCTTGGTCCGAACCTGTGGTCCCACGTGGCTTTGTGGTGTGGGCTTGATAGAGTTCAGGTGCATGTAATTGAGTAGATTTGAAACCCACGAGAATGTTGTAAACATCTTGACCAGGACCTTACTTTGCTTCATGGAATTCGGCTATAAAATAAAGACTCCTCGCAGGCTGTGGCGC